AGCTACAGTAAACATATAATTGGAGCGGAATAGTTAAACACTTTTAATTTGTTATCTTAATTACTGTAACTATTTTTACTGTAAAATTAAGTTAATTAACGATAAAAAATTAACTATATTTAGGTTATAATTTGGTGCAAGTATATGAAAATTAAATACTGTAGCTATTAATTTGTGAAATTGTGATATATTGATTTGTGAAATATTGATAAGTAAAATGAGAGTGAGAATGAAATATTTTTTTTCATTTTGATGATATATTGATTTATAAAATTGTGATGATATATTGATTTGTGAAATTGAGAATTGCGATGATTATTCATATTTTTTTTATTTTGAATGTTATATATCTATAAATTATTTAAATAACAATAAATTATTTAACCTACGTTACGCTATGCGTTATCGCTACTGTAACTTAACCGGAGGTAAGCGTTACGCTATGCGTTATCGCTATTTTCAACATTGGATCTTGTTATGATGTCTTTTACTTTTCATAACAGAGTGGAAGAATTTAGAGCATTTATCTCAATGTAAACCCCATTTGATGTTTGCCTTTTGCCTATAGAAAGAAACTTCACAGTCAACCACCCCGGTATAAGCACTTAGACATTTTTTTCTCTTTAATTATCAGATCAGAATTGAAGGGATCATTAGCTAAGTGCTGCTGAATTTTAGTTAGCTCCCCTTTGGCTCTTATAAACTGCTCACTGATATTCATAAAATGCCTTTTATTCAATTCTTTCAAAACTGGTTTGAGATTTTTCAGCTTCATGACCAGCTTATACATATAATAGCCCCTGAAGTTTTGTTCCCAAACAGACTTGACCTTTGCATAGAAATCAGGATGCTTAATCCACATGGAGAAAAATTTGAATGGTTTCTTTCCTTCACATATTTCATCATCATGAATTATCACCAAAGCTGGAGAATGGTCAGAAAAGTTTGGTACTAAAAAATCAACTTGACTAGGTGTATATTTAAGGATCCACTCCTCATTTACCAAAACCCTATCCAATCTGCTCCAAATTCTGGAATTAGCATCCTGTTTGTTACACCAAGTGAAAAAACACTCAGTTGCTTTAAGATGATGCAGCTGATTCAGTTCAATAAATTTTTGAAAGTCTTCAGTTTCAGATTCAGGTACTTGAGATCCACCCAATTTCTCCTCATTACATATGATGGCATTAAAATCTCCACCTATAATCCATGGACAGTTAACATTCTGCTTGAACACTGATAGATCATGCCATAGATTTTTCCTGCCTATTTGATCATTTAGAGCATAAACAATAGTAGCAATATAGGATAACTTGTCATCCTTAGAAGAGACACTGCATGTCATATATTGCTCAGATGAGGAAATGCATTGAACAGATAAAACATCACCATCCCAAAGAATCCAGATTCTACCTCTATTTGTATGCTGAGAGTTTGAAATCCAGTCCCAGTCTCTAGTCATTTTCTTAGCAATGATTTGCATTTTATTGCTAGCAACTTTAGTTTCCAAGAGTGCTATGAAGGAAAGTTTATACTCATGAGCTATTTGCTTAACTATCATTTGCTTAAAGGATTTGTTCAATCCTCTAACATTCCAGATGGCTAATTGCATATTTATTGAGCAGATTTTCCCCTATCAATATTTGAGGGGTCAAAAAATGATCCTGATGATCCAGCAAAGAAAACTGTGATGCTTGAATATGAGAGGAAGTAATTTCACCAACATTCATCTTAGATCTTCTGGCAATACTATTTCTGCTTACACTAGTAAAACCACTGATATTGATGGAGGGAGATAAATTTGAATTTACAAGACCAAGTATGCCAGGACTTTGCATTCCACAACCAGTAATATCATTTTTCCCATTATGCTTATCTGATCCAATTTGTTGTACAGATATTCCATACCCAGTTTTGGTAGCACTATTTGTGCATGTTTCCACTTGTGCATGTTTTTCAACTTTTTCTTTATCTGATTGAAGAATAGGTATAACATTCCTCAATATTTCTTCATGATTCTCAGGTAAGGTAGAATTCAATTCAACTTGTGCAGGATTTTCTATATCAAGTATCTGATGGACTGTTTGTGCATTTGAGTTTCCTGATGATTTTTGAACCCAGATTTTCCTAACAGCATTCCTTCTACACTGCTCAGTTTTATGTCCCACCATTTTACAGTTTGCACACCATCTTGGTTTTAGCTCATAAATCACTTTTTGAGTATAGCTTTTCCCATCAGGGCCCTTTATAACAATTTGATCTGGCAGAGATTCTTTTAGGGGCAAATCAACTTCTAATAAAACTCTTGCATAAGATAATCTCTGTCTCAAAGCTGTAAGTTTATCAGTAGTAATGGGATTTCCAATGAGACTAGCAATCTTGCTAATACCTGAAGAACTCCACAAATTTAGCTTTAAATTTGGAAATTGAACCCACATTGGGTAGCTACAATCCTGTATTTTCTCAACATCAGTATCAATCTTCCACGGCTTTAAAATCAAAGGCCTGGCACCAAAGAACCTTGGACCTGCCTCTAAAACTTCATTCATCCGTTTTTCAGCAGTAAATTCAAAAAGAAAAAACCCTTGTTTAATTAAGAAAACTTTTGGAATGGAGATTTTCCCCCAGATCTTGTTAACATATGACTCCATGGATTTAAATTTAACATTCAATCCAATGACATGCCCTATTAGAGCAAATTTTCAAAGATCTTCTCCTTCTTTCCATTCTTCTTCAGTGAAAGAAACAGCATTTGCTTGAGAAGGAGGAACAAATTTTAATGATAACTCATTTCCATGTTTTCTATTTTCAGAAAAAAGACTAGCAAAAGATTTTGAACCTTCAGATCTAGTTTCTTCAGATCTGGAATTTCTTCTATGATTTATAGTATCATCATCCTTGTTACTTTCCCTCTCTAGGATAGTATTGTTGGCCTTCTTGTTTTGATAATGTTTAACAAACAATTTATCACTAATGTTGTTTGTCTAGTATTTGTGTTTTCTTATTTATTATAGACAAATAACGTAGTTGGAGGTTGGATGGAATAGAGCTTCAACGATCATATCCAAAGGAGGTTGGCGGAATGTCGGTGAAGCCCTCACAATTCAAAGTTAAAGATCAAGTTCAGCTTCATCCGCATGTGTACCAAGTCGAGCTTATTGAAGATCAAAATCAAAACTTGGGTATATTTATAGGTTTATATTATGTGTGTTTAATACTCTAAGCTCAATATCATATACATACACAATATTGGATTTTCTCACAAAATGAGCTATTTTGAGAAAACTTTGTGATATTGTTTTATTAACCATGTTCACTTTATATTCATGTGTTATAATATTTATGAAGACATTTCATAAAGTTTCAATATGCGTTTAAACTCTTTTTGTCAAAAACATGTTCTTAACAAATTCATATTCATGCATGTTTTTACAAAATAATGAGTTTTCACAATTGAGAAATGAAAATTAAAATTTTATTTTTGTAACATGTTTGTTTTCATATTTATAAACATTTAGCAAAGTTTCATTAAGTTTGGAATTGATTTGTTATGTTTAATGGAATTTACAAAATCATGTTTTTGTTCATGCACATGTTCGTGCATGTTTTACAAAATAGATGAGTTTTCATATATGGGAAGTGATATTCAAGAAATTATTTCTTTGAAATGTTTATCTACATGTTTAGAAACTTTTCTCAAAATTTTACTATTTTTGGAGTTGATTTACTGTGCCCAATTGATTTTACAAAATCGTGTATGTCAGCAGATTTTCAGAAACTGTATTTCTGTGTTCAAACATTTATTTCTCTCAACTGGGAAATGTGTTTTTAGAAATTCTTTCTCTAACATGTTTTTATACATGTCTAGAACTTTTCTTCAAAATTTCATAATTTTTCGAGTTGATTTACTATTTTTAATTGATTTTACAGAGCTGGATATATAGTGCTACAGTACCAGCAGTCGACCGCGCTACAGTGCGGTCGACCGACGAACTCTCTGGAAAACTCCTCCGTTTCTAACCTTGTTCGCGGTCGACCGCGATTTTCCTCGGTCGACCGCCGTAGTTCCAACGGCTATTTTTAGAACCATTGCAGAGTGGTTTTTATTGGTCTTTTTCTTGGCTTTCTCTTACCTTTGGGGTTTCATATAAATACCCCCTTACCTCAGTTTTTACGAGGTAAGCAAGAAATGTTTTAAAGAGTTTTAATCAAGGGTTTAAGTTGGTTTAAGTGTGTTTATAAGCTTTTAAGCATTTGAGTGTTTCGGTTTGGTGAATCTGTTTTACAAGAGCTTGAGGAGATTATCAATTACATTTTGGGCATTCAATCCATCTCTCTCTTGTCATCTAGAGAAGTTTTCCTAAACTCAACTCTAGCTTTTATTTATTAATTATTTGTTAATTTTGTTAGGATATATCTTATTGTTTATATATCCTTGCATATATTTCTATCATATAGGATATATCACCTTGTGTATATTGCATATTCTTGCACTTAACTCTTTGTATATCTATCTTGCAAGAATATAACTTGTTAATTAGTTTTTAATTGGCATTTAATCGGATTAGATTAGCATAAGACCCTAATCACCCCCCCTCTAGGGTCTAACAATTGGTATCAGAGCTTGGTGCTCTTTGATTTAAGGTCTAATCGCCTTGAGTTAAAGATCCAAGTTATCTTTTTGTGCTAATCTTATTTTTTGATTGCATTTGTATCTTGCTTGTATATTTTTACAAATTATGGATATGAATGATGCATCTTGTTTAGGCCATGATTCTAGTATTGCTTCTAAATTTAATATTTTCCCTTATACCCAATGGTGTTTTAGATTCAAATTATTTGTTCAATCTAAAAATATCGATTTATGGGAAATCATTTATTGTGCTTATATTATGCCCACGTTGGAGAAATCCAAGTGGAGCAAACATGATAAAAAGATGTTTATTATGAACAAGCTTATGTTAGAATTTTTATTAAATGCATTTGATTCATTTATGTCTAACAAGCTTGATTCTTTTGATAGTGCTTATACATTATGGAAATTCATAGAAGCGCATCAAGAAGACTTGGAGGCGATCCGACAAGCTTTAGAGGATCCCGCTTCAAGTTCATATGGAGCTTCATGCACACGTGCACTAGGCGATAGCCCTAGTAAGGTTTGCGAGTTCGAAACTATTAATAATTTACCTAATGATGAACTTGCTTGTGCTAGTGATAAATTATTGCATGCCTACAAGAAATTGCAAAATGATTTCATTAATCTTAAAAGCAAGCATGAAATTTTAAAATCCGATCATGAGTCTTTAGCTTCTAAGTTTGATAATATTTCTAATGAGAATGTGATCCTCAAAGGGGACTTGGAGGCGATCCAACAAGCTTTGGAGGATCCGACTTCAAGTTCATACGGAGCATCATGCACACGGCCATTAGGCGATAGCCCTAGTGAGGTTTGCGAGTTCGAACCCGATAATGATTTATATAGTGATGAACTTGCTTGTGCTAGTGATAAATTATTGCATGCCTACAAGAAATTGCAAAATGATTTCATTAATTTACAAAGTAAGCATGAAAATTTAAAATCCGATCATGAGTCTTTAACTTCTAAGTTTGATATTATTTCTAATGAAAATATGATCCTTAAATAACAATAAAAAATTAAAATCGGATCATGATTCTTTGCTTTCAAACTTTGCCAAGTTAACTCATGAAAAAGATAATGCCATGTTAGAAGTAGAGAACATACAAAATGATACTGCTTCCTTTATAAATGACTATTTATGTTCTACTTCTAATAAAAATGCATATGTGCCTAAAAATAAAGATTTGAATCTTATGAATAATCGCATTTCATCTTTAGATTCAACTTTGAAAATATGCATTGATAATCATAAGAGGCTTATGGATATGTGTGCCAAGTCTAAGTCATCATCTACTCATTATACACACATATATAGAAAAACTTATAAGTGTTCTATTTTCGGCCGTCAATGTCATTTAGCTAAGTTTTGTTATGATGCACACAAACATAAGAATTCTAATGCTCCTTGTGCATCTCATGTAGCTTCTTCATCACATGTACACACACATGCACCCATTATTCATCATAAGCATGCTCATGTGTATAGATGTGATCATTGTGGTCGTTTTGGTCATTTGACCGAATATTGTTTTGATTTGAAAAAAAAATCTCATTTGCCAAATGCTTCTAGTAGACCACATGCTTTTAAATGTGATGTTTGTGGTAGGTTTGGACATCTTGCTAAATTTTGTTTTGATATACAAAAAGTTTCTAAGTTACAATATGCTCCAAATAGACCATTGTTTAAGAATGTTTCTTATTTGCAAAATAATTTTAAAAGAAAATCTATATTTGCAAATGATTCCCGTACATGAGCTAATGGTCCACAAAAACAAATGGATCTCTTTCATTGAACAAATTATAATCGGAAGGGTCATTTGAGCGATTATTGCTTTGACCGTGTTAGTGCACCACATATGCCCAAATGGGTTCATAACCCAAGGGCTTTGAGCTTTAATGATAGGGGCCATGTCTCTAAATCTTTTGGTACCAAGAGTTCTTAGGTACCAAAACAAATTTGATTTTTAAACCAAGAATTTTAATGTTCTTATTTTTCCCTTTTCTTAGTTCTGAAAATTATGTTTTAAAATCTTTTTATTATGAAAATAATTTTCCTTTATCAAATCTTTTGTTTTCATGATTATTATTTTTGATTTTGATGAGAGATTTGTGTTTATATAACCCTCCGGGCTTATTGGGTGTTTATTCCTAAATCTTGTTTACCCGGTGCTAAAATATTCATATCGGTTGATACTAGCTCAAGAGCTAGATATAGTTGTCTCTCTTGATTTTTGAAAATCAATGATGATTTGGTTTTATGTTCTTGTGTGATTTACTTGTGATTTATGATTTTATTTGATTGATTTGTTTTCATTTGAAAACATTTTGCATGATTCTACTTGTGATTTATGATTTTATTTGATTGATTTGTTTTCATTTGAAAACATTTTGCATGATTCTCATGCTTTATTTCTTTTGATTTCATAATCTATTTTATACATGGTTTTTATATTAGTGTAATGAAACACTATCTTCATAATGACATATTTATATGTGTCTTCATTGTCTTTTTGTATGTGAGGAGTGTTTAGCATACTTTCCATCTATGCTTGCTCACATATGTATGTCTTAGCATTCATTGCATATATTCATTAATAGCATACTTTCCATCTATGCTTGCTCACATATGTATGTCTTAGCATTCATTGCATATATTCATTAAGGTATTTTGATAGGGGGAGCAATCCCTATGTTTTTCATGTGTTATACTTACCCATGCATATTGATAGGGGGAGCTTTCGCTCTCTTCATTCTTTTGTCCCCTTTTTTGATGTTGTCAAAGGCGGAGAAATATTATGAGTATATTCTTTCTTGTTTATATGCATGTGAATTATAAATTATATATTCATTTCCTTCATGCATATATTTCTTTTTGTAAATTATTTGTCATCATTAAAAAGGGGGAGATTATTGGCCTTCTTGTTTTGATGATGTTTAACAAACAATTTACCACTAATGTTGTTTGTCTAGTATTTGTGTTTTCTTATTGATTATAGACAAACAACGTAGTTAGAGGTTGGATGGAATAGAGCTTCAACGATCATATCCAAAGGAGGTTGGTGGAATGTCGGTGAAGCCCTCGCAATTCAAAGTTAAAGATCAAGTTCAGCTTCATCCGCATGTGTACCAAGTCGAGCTTATTGAAGATCAAGATCAAAGCTTGGGTATATTTAGTATAGGTTTATATTATGTGTGTTTAATACTCTAAGCTCAATATCATATACACACACAATATTAGATTTTCTCACAAAATGAACTATTTTGAGAAAACTTTGTGATATTGTTTTATTGACCATGTTCACTTTATATTTATGTGTTATAATGTTTATGAAGATATTTCATAAAGTTTCAATATGCGTTTAAACTCTTTTTGTCAAAAACATGTTCTTAACAAATTCATATTCATGCATGTTTTTACAAAATAATGAGTTTTCATAATTGACAAATGAAAATTGAAAATTTATTTTTGTAACATGTTTGTTTTCATGTTTATAAACATTTTGCAAAGTTTCATTAAGTTTGGAATTGATTTGTTATGTTTAATGGAATTTACAAAATCATGTTTTTGTTCGTGCACATGTTCGTGCATGTTTTACAAAGCAGATGAGTTTTTATAAATGGGAAGTGATATTCAATAAATTCTTTCTTTGACATTTTTATCTATATGTTTAGAAACTTTCCTCAAAATATTACTATTTTTAGAGTTGATTTACTGTGCCCAATTGATTTTACAAAATCGTGTATGTCAGCAGATTTTTTAGAAACTGTATTTCTGTGTTCAAACATTTATATCTCTCAACTAGGAAATGCTTTTTCAGAAATTCTTTCTCTAACATGTTCTTATACATGTCCATAACTTTCTCTCAAATTTTCATAATTTTTGGAGTTGATTTACTATTTTTAATTGATTTTACAGAGTTGGATATACAGTACTACAGTACCAGCGGTCGACCGCGCTACAGTGCGGTCGATCGACGAACTCTCTGGAAAACTCCTCCGTTTCTGACCTTGTTCGCGGCCGACCGCGATTTTCCTCGGTCGACCGCCGTAGTTCCAACGGCTATTTTTAGAGCCGTTACAGAGTGGTTTTTATTGGTCTTTTTCTTGGCTCTCTCTTACCTTTGGGGTTTCATATAAATACCCCCTTACCTCAATTTTTACAGATACACAAGAAATGTTTTAAAGAGTTTTGAAAAAGAGTTTAAGCTTGTTTTAAGCTTGTTTAAGGGTTTGGTTTAAAGCTATTTTGGTTTTCACAAGTGGAGGAGATTATCTTCTTGTTTGGGCTTCAATCTCCATCTATCCATCTTGTCATCTATTGAGAAGTTTTCCTAAACTCAACTCTAGCTTTTATTTATAATTATTTGTTGATTATCATTTCTATTAAAGCTAGTTTTATATTAAGTTTAGATTTGTTTTATCTCATTATTACACACACCCACTTGAGCTTATTGTATTTGCATACATAGTATATTAGAGTTGTGAGAGATTGTAACATTGAGTTGTGCTTAATTGAGTTCTCCCCTTGTATGAGAGAACAAATTTATATTTGTTACATTGTGAGTGTTGTGAAGTTTTCGGTGAACTAGAAAACCGATTGTGAGGAGTGACGTTGATCGGTGAGCGTTGAAAACCGACATTGTGAGGTGTAATCGTTATTCGGTGAGCGTAGAAAACCCGATTGTGATAGTGGATTTCTCCCCGGGAGTGGGCAGCGGAGACGTAGGACGGAAAGGTCCGAACTCCGTGATCATTGAGTGTGTTTGAGTTTGTCATTGGCGCATTTGCTTTTGCATTTATCTTATAATCGCCAATTGTGCATTGCTCATTTATTTCATCCACTATCTATGTTCATTTTGTTTACCCTTTGTGTTAGTTTACATATCCTTACATATATCATATTGTATTATCTCTTTGGTAGGATATATCACCTTGTGTTAGTTTTATATCATTACACATACATTGCCTATATCTCTTTGTTAGGATATATCTTTGTTGTTCATATTGCTTATCCTAGCTCATATAACTTGTTGTATTTCATACTTGCTAGAATAACTCATTATTAATTTTTATTGGCATATAATCGGATTAGATTAGGCATAAGACCCTAATCACCCCCCCCCCCCTCCCGATCATGGCTAACAGTATTGGCTATCAACAACATTAACATTCTCAGCATTAACTTCAACATTATCCTCAGTAGACTCATTCAGATCTGAATCAGAAATATCTTCAACTTGATCTGACCATAAAGCAGAGTTAGGAGTTTTACCTAAACGACGAGGAATCATCACACCAGATCTCATTTGTGGGGACTGGGGAATTGTTAAAGGACTGGATCTAGCAAGAATCTCCTCCATAAGCATTTTGTTCTTTGCTCCTTTAGGACCGGTACTCTCCATATCCTGAGAAGAAACTGTTCCATTGACTTCAGCTCCAGCATTAGATGAAGAGGCTTCAGGATCAATCGCAGCTGAAGGAGAAAAAACGAAGATAGAATCTCTAATTTCATTGCTCTGAACACTCTTGCCTCCGATCTTCTTCTTTTTCGCCATGAAAATCAAGGCGGGGGAGCACGTTAGCAGATGAAAAATCGCCTACTAAAGTACGCCATTCAGACCGCCCCCTCTTTCTACGTTTCTCAAGGGTACTTTTTATTGAATAGGAATTCCTTCTGCATCAAGCTACACAGTTTCAGGAATCATTTTACCATCATTTTCCTCATCATAAAATAAAAGATCCCAAAAGTTACAAGGCTTTTCTATAATATTAAGAAGATATAGATGATTATGTGCTGAAACCCATTTTTGTAGATTTAAGATACATGCTCATACTCTTCCAAATTCTGATTAAAGATACATGCTCATATTCTTCCAAAGTCTATGATGGAATCATAGTTTTCGCTGACCCCATTTTATATGGGAAGAGTTTTCTTTCGGTTTACCAATATATAATTCAATAACTCATTCATCCATAGACACCTTTCCACTTCATCCAACAAGCTTTCTTCCTGCTATATATACTTACATGTTTATCCATTCTCATTAAATTGGGACAAGTATTAATATTTCAATGTTAAGGACATCCATGACATTTTCTGAAAATCCATGATGCCATGATGGCATTGATAACCCATGAAAAGAACATTAAAACTCTGCAGGGTACAGCCCGCCCCGCCCGCTCCCGCAATTTGAATTTGGCGCGCTACCTCCCTAGGCCTATTCACATTTGAACGTTTTATGACTTGCATACAATTCAGTTCTCAAAATAATGCAAGCACTTACAAAGTATTAGTGTATAAGTAGCTTGATGGACAATATTTGTAACATGTTTAACTAATTCTATTACTTATTATCTTCATGTAAAATTGAGTACTTTTGGATTGGGATCATAGTTAACCAAAGAGATAAATGGAAATGTTGTTAATTAACTGTACATTTTCATTTCAATAAAATGGTAATTACTAAGAACATATCATTCAACTGATTAAAAACATAAGATATGCCCAGAATGATGTTTACCTTTCATGAAAGTCAATGATAAGTTCCCTCACTTGAGGCACAAACTCTAGGTAATTCTGGAAGACACCATTGTCTATCACTTTTTTCTGTTAACAACACATAAATATCCCAAGTTAAGAATCTAAAACAGATAAAGAATCATTAAAGATCTAAAACGACAGGCAAAGACATACCACCAGCTCAGTTCGGTCAAATGAAGCAAGTGCACAAAGACCACCATATGTTCCGATATCAAGAGGTGTTACCACTTCTGTATATCTGATTCCCAGTGCACGACGCATTTCCACAAACTGGAGGAGGAAGGAAAAAAAATTAATGGACATAGAACTATTAGCATTTTCGAAATATTCTGTTATCCAAGCCTTAAAATGTATATAAGATTCTTCTTTCTAACCCTAATGAACCCAAAGCTGGCAATATATTTTATGCTGTGTCAATATATAGAATATAAAGTTATCGCTTTCTAAAATGTGGGGTTCTTTCCTATTTCTGCGATGGAACACACTACACTCTCTCTCTCTCTCTCTCTCTCTCTCTCTCTCTCTGAAATATGGGATATACAAATCTCAAGGCATGTTTGGATAGATAAAATCCTATGATCGAAGATCTAGTGGGATGATTAGTTTGGCTATCAATTTATGACTTATGAGTACCCCCCTGAGGATGATAATCCAAAAAGTGACCAAGTTCTTTTGGATTAGAAAAATAAGACCAATACCTTTTTTTCTTATCTATAGATTTTTCGAATCAATAAGATATCATACATGCAGACTTTTCTTGCATAGTCAATAGTACAATAAAATCTACCTAAAAAAATGTGGCTAGAAATACAACAGATGGAAGACTATATATGGAAATTATTTGGCTGCAGAAAATTGGTAGATTTAAAACCATTTAAAGGTTGCAAATCATACAAAGGGACTGCATCTTGCAAGCAGCAAGCTTATACTCCTTTCCATGCAAATAAGCTAATGCTGATGCACACAGTAATTTTCCAACTGTGAGAGGACTCAATGAGCATGATGCTTTCATCGCTTTATCAGCATAATGTGAAACATACGAGAACTGGCCGAGCTCGATGCTCACAAGGATTACCCTCAGGTACATCTGAATTGTATTATCCTCAGTAGTGCAATAGTCACAACTCTGGACATATTTCTCAAAAGCATCCGCAAGGTGACCATGGGAATAGTAAAAATCTCCAAAATCCGCAAGTGCCCTTCTGATTCCTTCTTCATAGAGACGATACTGCACAATAATGATTTAGCCTTTCGCTTTAACAATCAACAGTTGAAGTGGGGGAGAGAGAGAGGTTTTTTTGTGGGGTGGGGGTGGTGGGGAGGGTGTCATGGTATAAGTCACAAGCATTATAAACCCAAATCCAGTAGGGCATATTAGAAGATTGTGTACAGAGAAGAATATCATGTTTGAAATATGTTGTTTCTAACAAAACATTATATAGATAAATAATGTCTCCATTGGTTAACATGAAAATACAAGAATAATAATCAAGTTCATTTTAACTGAAATGTGGCATATAATCATGACACATGTAGACATATATGCAACACAATAAAATGCCAAGCTTCAGAAACTAGTCTTCTATCTGTGTGCAATGTGCATGTACATTTTGTATGCAACCTTTGTACACTCGAATGCTGTAAGCCTATAAATATAGGGTTAGTGCCTAAACTTGCAAGTTTCAATCATTAGCCTCAATACAAGAATTTAAAACAAGCTACTGTTAAAAAAAATATTCAGAATAAAAATGAATCAATTATTCTATCAGATATGTGGACCCTGAAGTTTGTATTTTAAAAATCTAAAATTGTACTAATGTTAGTTACTGCTCATTTACATGAGAATCTTTATAAAAACCTTTCTAAGCATTCTTTTATGAATTCTAAAGCTCAAAATCCATTGTCGATTTAAAAGGAACGAAAGGTCCCTAACCTTTGTAAATGTAAAAAAACTTACCATAATATGGTTAACTCTTAACAATCTTGATACCCTTCTCCATTAGGTTTCCCCCCTCTATTATTTTCTCGTCGTTACCAATCGCTCTCCCATCTATCATCTTCCCCAGTTTATCTATCTTTTCTTTTGGTTTCCTGAACCCCAAGCCCTTTCCCTTTTCTTCATCAAGGATACAATGACCCAAAGAAAAACTGCATAATAGTAATGTAAAAATTTTGAGTAATTACAACTTAAGGGTCTAATTTAGAAAGATGGAGATCTTTATAAAAACCTTTCTTAAGTATACTTTTAGTTTTATGGATACTGAAGCTCAAAAGCCAATGTAGAATCTAAAAGAAAAACGAAAGGTCCCTAGCCTTTGTAGGTGTAAAAATTTTTATTATAATATGTTAAGAGTCTAACTTAGAATTGTGGAAATTTGAGGGTCTCCTATATAATTAAGTTGGGAATCTAATATCACAAAGAGCCCTTTGTTATCAAGAACACCCACAGCCAGCAAAAATCTTTGTTTTCAACCAAAGAACATAACCATAAGATTATATTAACAAAAGAAAGCTACCAATCTCAACAAAAGGAGAAATTCGCAAATATACCTGAGCATCACTGACGTCTTTCTGGAGCTCATCCTTTCCGTGCGCCATTCTTCGATCCACGTCATCAATCCACGCCTGATCGAGCCCATACTCTGGCCCAAGACGCCCGTTGGTCATCTTGACGACACGACGATGGAGCTGCGTATCCTCCGTCCTCTTGATCTTCATATACGCGAGTCGAAGCGCGTCCATCTGCGATTCTGGGTCACTGCATCTCTCGGCGATGAAAAGGAGGCGAGAAATCATCGTGCGGCCCCTGTAGCGGGCGTAGCCCTCGACATTGAAGGGCTCGGAGTCTCCGGAGGGAGAGGGGGCGACGCTGTCGTCTTCACTGGCCATGGAGTACTGTTAGGGTTTTGATGGGGGTTAGTGTTTCAAGAACCCTGGCAGAGGTTTCTTGAATTCTGAGTGGCGGGATTTGGGAGATTTCGGTGATCGGTCTGAATAAACCGGACCGGTCTGTTTTCATCTGAAAATGGAAAGCGTGATTTAGCCTCTGTCCTATTTATAATTTCACTTAAGTACCATGCGTGTAGTTTCTCATGCTTTTTACTGATACTAGCTAGATTACACGTGCAATGCACGTGATCGGATATTATGGTTATTTAAATTGATAAAAATAGATTAAAAATAAAAGAGAAAATATAGTTTTTTGCGGGATTGATTATCAACATAATAATCTCTTTTTCAAATGAAATATTATCATCACTACGTGATCTACTATTTGTGGGTTATAAACACATTGATTTAGTATAATATCTTTGTTTATTAGTATCTTGAAGTCTTTAAAAGATGGGTGATCATTCAATTCACAAAGGAATTTTGCATATGAATTTACTTGTAATATGTTCATTAAACTTTTAGTTGTAGTTTGACTCATATTCACATTAACTTTTAGTTGTGATTTCACTCATATTTATATAGTCAATCGATTAAACATATTAACATTATAATGATCACAGTTAAAATTATATGTTGGGTTTACATTAAATATAATTTATAAAAAATAGTACATTAAAGTCAAAAACCTTTTAACCACTATATAGATTGTTTGAAAATTTTGCATGTATAAACTATACTGCCTAGGAATAGTGATGTGCACACTTAACTATAGCCTAATATATCTTTAAGAACGACTTACTCTTTAATATCATCATTAATTGATATATCTATGTATTACACTAAAAACATAATGAAAATTTAGAAAACTATAAAAGAAATACCCTCAAAAGTTTTTAAAATTATAAAAACAAACACCCTAAAATTATATAATTAATAAATACACAATTAACATTAAAATCAAGGAACTACAAAAATCATTGAAAATTTTTAAACTTTGGAAGGGTAATTTGCAATGTACTAAACTTTAAGTTTTTTTTTGTAAATTTCAAATCTAATAGATTTTTAATTAGTTATGTTCTTTTAAAAAAAGTTACGGGTAATATTGACCATGAATTTTTTTTTCCTAAACCTATATTTTTAAAGGGAATATGATATTTTTTTATAAATTTTTTATTTTCTAATTGTTGCTAGTGATTTTGTATATTCATTTTAGTGTCTATAGGTTAGAAATTCTCATTGTGTTTTTTTATAAATTATGAATATTATTTAGTTTCTATAGGTTAGAAATTCTCATTGTGTTTTTTTATAAATTATGAATATTAGGGGTTTTTTTATAATTTTTTTAAACTTATAGGCTTTTTCTATAGATTGTAAATTATTTATAGACAATTTATAATTCCTATATTTTTAATTTACTAATGAGTTTGAAATTCTCAGAGTACTTTTTGTAAAATTTGAATTTTGAGTGTTTGTTTGTAATTTTTGAAACTTTAAGGGTGTTTTCTATATATTATAAATTATGCAGGGGATATTTGTAACTCCTATATTTCTAATATATTGTTAGATTGGAAATTATCAGAATTTTTGTAAAATTTTATAATTTTGAGGGTTTTTATCTTGCAATTTGTAACAAGTTTAGAGTTTTATTGCAAATTTCATAAATTTTTAGAGGTTGTTTGTGTTATTTTTAGGTTTTTATTGTATTTATATATTTGAAATTTTCAATGTGTTTTTTACAAATTTTAAATTTTAGGAGTGTTTTTGCATTTTTTAAAACTTATAATATACTTTCTCCAATGTCAAAAACTTTTATTTTTAGCTAGCAAATATTTTTCTGATTTCTCACTGAATTAAAATAAGTAAAATTTATAATTTTTAAGATATTTTAATAAAATTTTAAATTTGTAGGGGTGTTTTTGTAATTTAAAAACTTAGAGGTTATTTTTTATAAGGTCTAGGAATTGAATTTGTATTATCATGTAGCTAAATAAATAAATATAATTTAAAAGTAATAATTTAAATTATTAAGTGCCTAATATTCATTCATGCGAGAAAGTAAAGTAATCTATGGTCTATATATTTATATAGTCAATCGATTAAACATATTAAAATTATAATGACCACCGTTAAAATTATATGGTGGGTTCACACTAAGTATAATTTATAAAAAATAGTATATTAAAGTCAAAAACCTTTTAACCAACATATTGATTGTTTAAAAGTTTTTGCATGTATAAACTATAGTACCTAGGAATAGTGATGTGCACACTTAACTATAGCCTAATACATCTTAAGAACGATTTACTCTTCAATATTATCATTAATTGATGTATCTATGCATTACACTAAAAAAACTATGAAAATTTAGAAAACTACAAAAGAAATACCCTCAAAAGTTTTTAAAATTGTAAAAACAAACACCCTAAACTTTTATAATTAACAAATACACAAAACTATTAAAAATTATATTAAAATCCAAGAAACTACAAAAAATCATTAAAAAATCTTAAACTTTGGTGGGGTAATTTGCAATGTACTAAACTTTAAGATTTTTTTTATAAATTTTAAATCTAATAGATTTTTAATTAGTTATGTTCTTTTTAAAAAAGTTATGGATAATATTGACCATGAATTTTTTTTCCTAAACCTATACTTTTAAAGGAAGTATGATATTTTTTATAAATTTTTTTATTTTCTAGGGTTGCTAGTAATTTTGTATATTCATTTTAGTGTCTATAGGTTAGAAATTCTCATTGTGTTTTTTTATAAATTATGAATATTAGGGGTTTTTTATAATTTTTTAAACTTATAGGTCTTTTCTATATATTGTAAATTGTTTATAGACTATTTATAATTCCTATAGTTTCAATTTACTAATGAGTTTGAAATTCTCAAAGTTTTTTTTTAATTAAATTTTGAGTGTTTTTTGTAATTTTTGAAACTTTATGGGTATTTTCTATAAATTATAAATTATGTAGGGGATATTTATAATTCCTATATTTTTAATGTATTGTTAGGTTAGAAATTATCAAAAATTTTATAAATTTTACAGTCTTGAGGGTTTTATCTTGCAATTTGTAATAAATTTTACAGTCTTGAGGGTTTTATCTTGCAATTTGTAAAAAGTTTAGAGTTTTATAAATTTTTAGAGTTTTATCTTGAGAAGTTTAGAGTTTTATAAATTTTTAGAGTTTTATCTTGAGGGTATTTTTTACAAGGTCAAAAAACTTTTTGGTGCTGGCTAGCATATATTTTTTAGATTTTTATACAAATTGAAATAAATAAAGATTTGAATTATACAAATATATCACCTTTATCCAATAATATGTTAAGTCTCATTATGGATATGATAAATCATTTAATTATAAATTCAAAGAAGATAGGAAAATTAGAATAGATTAGGATAATGATATAATATTTAAAAAAATTAAGGGTAATATTGACCATGGAAAGATTTTCCTCAACTGGTACTTTTAAAGGGAGCATGATATACAATCACTTATTTTTTGCAACACTTATATATGCTAAGGTTTATCCCTTGTTTTTTGCAGCATTTATATAAGTAAAAGTTTTTAAAACTCACTTAAATAGCCTAAATATTTAAAGATTGCACTTAAATACCCTAAAGTATTTAAAACCTGCATTTAAATACTCTAAAGTCTTTAAAAATTACACTTAGATACCCTTAGTAATGCATCACGAGACTTTTCCCCAGAAATTTTTCATGTGACACTCACATGCTATTTAGTTTAACTCTTAATATTTGTTAAATTCTTAGTTAAACATATACGCACCATGTTTTAAGACGACATAGTTCATGAGTTTCCTCCTAATCTCATAACCCGATGGTTGAATCATGCATACCTCTTTGACTTTGACTATTGATGAATACAATTTTAATATGAAGTTGGTAGAATGGCAAATGTTTAGCTTCGACGACAGATTGAATGATCCGAACAAAATCTAACCGTGCAACTAGAAAAGGTTCCCGATCGAAGTAATAAATCCAATGGACTCAGTGCTAGAAAAATGTAAATTCTCGATCTTTAATATTTCTAAATAATTCATTAGTATAAGTCGAGCTTGCTTGCTTCAGTTCCAAAACTATAGATATTTCTTGTAGTGGTTAAAAAGGCTACGTACTAAAGCCCAAATAGTAAGAGCGTAGATGGATCGTAAGAGATATATGTTCAAATTATTTGTAAACATTAATAGAAATGATTCGTAGAAGTTTCTGTTTAGCTTGATTATTTTACAAATGAATTTAAGTTATTTTATTCTCTAATATTAAAACTTAAATTAGGACTTGTTTGGAAAAATAGACCCATTAAATCGTGAATGGTCCCGCGTGATGGAGATGACCTTGATTTCTCTCTGTTATTGGAATATTGAAGGACTGTCCTCCTTCCATCAATTTTTCCATTGACCATTGTTGGTCATTATTTTCTAGAACAGTTGCTATAATCTTTAGAAAATGTTAAAAATTAAGGAATGTCACCTAAAATATCACAGAGCATTCAAGGTAAAATAAGGGAAACAAAACACATGATTGAATCAGCTAATCCACAGTAAAATATTACCTTATGTTTGCGCGAACTAATTAGCTTCTCTAGTCAGTAAAGATCATTCAAGTACCCTACCTTTTCGGAAATTAGTATTGCATGTGATATTCCATTACACAATTACATCATAAGTTGAATCTAAATTTTATCAAACGACGCTGTTGAATTACTTATTAATGTCATTTGGTGTTATAAAATCAATGCTAAAAAAGTAATTTCCGATAATTTAAGTTACCTGGTCTATATATTTTCTATTGGGCTTTGATTACTGGGACGTTCAGTTAGTTTTACGTAAATGTCTAAATTAGATGAAGTTGTTCCTTTATGTACGTACACTCTTTGCATGAAAATGTGTTGAAGTGTTATTATTCTCAGGTTGCGCGAGAGAAGTTGAAGTGAAACCGAATTGACAGGAGATGTTCTTTTAGCTTCGAACTTCCTAACAACCATGCTACTGCTTGACTAGATGTCTCTAGCTAATTGAACTCTGTACGTGTTCATGTATGTTTTTTTTCCCAGCAAAATGAGCTGCAATCTTTCAAGGTCCCACGTCCAGCTATTTGCATTAATTGGTGGAATAGTGCAGATCAAGCTGTTGGGTCGCGTTACAAGCACAAGCAATTAATGGATAATTTATACTGTGTATGATGAGTCTTAGAACTTTGTTGATACATTCAAACACAAGCAATGGATAATTATTATACTGCATAAAATGAGTCGTATAACTTTTGTATGCTATTTATTAGTTTTGCTGGGTGCGATGCCTTATAACTTCTAAGGCGTGAATATTTCATTAATTTTCTATTTATCTGGTGCATATGGGTTTCAACCCTGGTCGATCTATCATGCATCTAAGCTAGGATCTGCACTAATAATTGACTCGTCTTTCTTTTGCATGCTCACAGCATATGTGCATGTTCAAGTGGTCGGTTGAGCTCTTTCCCCGGCCAGTGTTTGATGTTCATATCGATCGACGAAGCTTCTGGGAGTTCCGTCTTAAAATATTTCCCAGGAAAGCAGGTTGCTTAATTCGCCATCTGATCGAGTCTTCTATATATGTTCCGCCTTTAGAGAGAGGTTAAATCGTTTGAGAAATATAAGGCCAGAACCATTCAATTTCCGACACCTTGCTGGAACTTGCACCAAGTCATTCTGAAAATGATGATGATGATGGATTGTTAATGCATTGTGTTTATTTGGGTTGTATTGTATTTGTTTAGTTAGTAGGTTCGCGTACCGATGGACATCGATGATGTTTAAAATGCTATTTCCTGCTGGAAGTTTTATCTAATTTCTGAACTCAGTTTCAATTTGCATAATTCGAAGAGCTAAGGCAGCAGTCCCGCACGTTAACCTTGCTGTCTTTTTAAAAGAATTTGACATGAAACAAGTTTCGAGTTCAGAGGAAAAGAACGGGGAAAGAGACTAAATGGTAATTAATTGTTGGTCACAATTTTACCTTTTTTAGCGACTGTGCTTATATTAGAGATGATATATGCCAAATAATTTTTTTTTCAGTTCTGTGCTGTACTTATGCTACGTACGGGAAAGAAAGCGCTGGGTTCTCAATGAATCCTAAGTTCTGGTAGCAATGTACGCAAGAGAGGGAAATTAAACTAGAAAAGTAACTAAGAATGTGTGGTCCAATTTTCAGTATTTCCGACATAGCTAATTGATAAAATAGGTTTTATAGTTCAAGACAATATCAACTTCTCTTCCCTTCTGAGAAGCTGCGGATTCGAATCTCGCGCCTCGCATTCTGACAGTAACAGATTTAATAATGAAATGGGCACTGAAACAAGCACTTTACTTTAGCCTGGCACATATGGTAAGTAATAAGATACAGTTAGAAATGCCACACCTCAAAACTGCCACCTCCCAGTTTTATATTAATACCCGAGACTGGCATCACAGTTGACACATTCCAACCATACACAATGTTTTAAGAGCTGAACTACGCAACAACATATGTTTCATAATTCTCACAGTTCAACACTCAACACCCTATATCTTATAATATTATTTCCCAGCTGGCCTCACCATTGAATACCACTTTCTGTGAATTCTCTCAGAATGTCCTGATCCAGTTCAGGAAGATGCAGGTTCTGAAGCAAGTCAGGCTTCACATCAAAGCTGCTGCTGCTGCTAGAGGAGTTGTTGTTGTTGTTGTTGTTGTTGTTGGCAGCAGCAGCAGCAGCAGCAGTTTTGAAGCTGTTGGTCCTACTCTGAGCCATTACTGATGTACCATTATTTCCCTCTTCAGTTTTCACAATGCCAGCAGGGTTAGGATTAGGTTGTTGTGATCCCCCTTTGTTGTTGTTCATCATCTCCTGAAGGAGTTGCTGTATCACGTGCTGCTCTAATTGCTGGTTCACTTGAGATGATGATTGTGGGTTATTGTTCTGATGAGGAAAGCTTATGCTTGATGAAGTTGAACCATTAAAAGATGCTGCCTTTGTTAGAAATGGCCCTTGTTGGGACTGGTTAGAATTCATGAAGGTAGAAGAATGCTGGAAAGGTTCTTGAGTTGAAGAAGTCCGCATTAAATACTGGTAATTGTTCAATGTGACTGCGCCATTAGGAGTGTTATTAATGATACGAGGAGCTGAGAGGTTGTTACTGTTTGCTGAGTGCATCGCCATGAGTTTATTTAGTGTGCTCTGGTCAGATGGTAGATTTTGTGTGCTCACCATTTGCTCGGCTTCTTGCATCTTTTGGGCTTGGAGATTAGCTGCAGCTTGTCGAGGATAGCTCTTCAGGCTCTCTGCAAAGTTCACGTTTTTCATAAATATGCTCATCAAGAAAATGAAACCATGTGACAGACTCCATAATTATTACTGATGACTTAAGAAGTGCTCTGGAAGAATATCATAAAAACTAGAAAAGACTAATAAAGTGCAAATAATACCACTATCATCAAGCATTAGAGATATAAGGACAAAAATATTGGCTAGTCTCAAGAGTTGGAATTGTTTTTTAGATGTTACAAAAAATGAAGAAATAGTCAGCCGCATGGAAAAATTAATTGGCATATATATTGAAATTAGAGAATTTTAGACATAAATCACATATTCCATGTTCATGGATAAATAAACAATAATATCGGAAGAACTCCAGATAGCAACAAATTAAGAACACTAAAGGCAAATGTCGCATTCTAAATTTGAAAAAAAAATGGTCGTTTTCTCCGATGTACAGCTGACTAATACTAGTCATCACTATTCATCAAGTGGCAGATGAAGAACTTCTCATGCCAATTTGCTCCATCAAATAGGAAAAGTGACTTTAGCTAATTACATCTTTCAGGGTTGAGATGTAGGCATCAAAAGAGCATGCATAATAAGAATTTAATTGAAAGGCATAAACATCCATCTAAATGATATGTGAATGAACAATTTATCAGATGCTTTAGATGACAGGGGAGATGTTACCTATAGGCCCAATCTTATTCTCCCGGCTAAAATCAATCAAGTCTTTCATGCTATTTACAACCTCTGATATCTGTTGAAAACACACAGAAATAGTTATTATCACAAGTCTCCCCGAAAATATATATGCTCACAATCTAATATCAAGATTTCAAGCATAACAACAAAATATAATATTCCTTACTTGCAAACACCGCACATATCTTTTGGAAAACCCCAGGTCATTTAGTGAATGTAGCTCAAGATTTCTCACAAGCTGACGTCCTGCAGTCATGAAACTAAAGAAGAAAAGGTCAAAAAGAATGATCATGCATGCAAGTAAAATCAATGAAAGGACACAGAAAATGGCTGAGAAAAAAGATGTCCATGTACAAATTGAAGGTATGATGAAGATAGCATGAAGCCCAATAAGTTAATGGGTAACTTAACCAAGAGACCTGAAGAAAATAAAGCACAATAACATAATCATAACAAGCAATTTAAAGTGTTATGATCTGAAAAAAAATAATATCATAAAAGCATAAGTAATAAGGCTAGCACATTAGCTGATGCAGGTAGTAGAGCTCTGAATAAAACTTAATCTGCAAAGTGCAATCAAACTCGTAAAAAATGAAACTAGGAAACTTCAATCACACTGGGAGTGTGTTACAACCAAGACAAATCAAGAACCCACATTGCCGGTGCAGATTAACAACCTAATGGAAGTATGAACTCTAATCCCAAAGAATTGTGAAGAAAAAATGAAGAATTGCCCTTTAAAGCATGGAAACAGCACTTGAATAAACTAGGACTAACGTAAGTCACGGATACAGAAAATTATATAAACATAACAAATCCAAGAAAACGCAATGAGATATGTACAAAAAGGGCAATCACAAGATAAGAGTACACAAGGTAAATCCAAAAAAAAGTATTAGTTAATGATATGTTATGGCTACAACAACGATAAATTTTAAATGAGAATGTTAATCAGTTATACTAAAAATTATATACGTAATAAAGAAACTGCACAAATTAGGCATGCATTTGTGAATCACATAGAATCATGGCTCATTGTTCACATGTTGTTTGTCTTTTTTTTAAGTGTCAAATACAACTATGATACTGTTGAGATATAAATAATTTGCAAATATTAGAAGGGTACAGAGTATGTGATATGTATCACATACAGAACATACAGGTAAGCTACCTACAGTATTTTGTAAAACATAGATTGCTTTACGGCCTAGTCGTCAGAATTACAAGTTTTAAAGAAGTCAACTTTCTACATGTTACATCCCTGTCCCATGATGTAACCATTCCTCGTTTGTAAATGAATTGCCCCCTTAAGAACTTGTGGCAGAAGCAACATCATGTTCCCATATTATGCCGTAGTTAATGAAAGCATTACATATAATACTTTAACCACGACAAGTCATATTAAAAAAAAAACCGCCATGCCGAAAAAGAAATCGGGAACAATAATGAAAGTAGAATATTACTATGGCAAGAAATTAACTATATGACTAAAACTGAGCTCTGATGATATAACCATCCGTCAATTTCAACCATTTTTTAATTTGCTGGGAAAAAAGTTCAATAAGCAAGAATGAGCATGTAACTTCACTCACAGGTTGCAGCTAGCTTGCAAATCTTGAAGTGGAACCCCAGCTGTTCCACTTTCATTTACAGCAGTTTGATACTTATGAACTACCTGCAACAGCTGGTTTACCTGGCAAAATGCAGTTTGACCAATTAACAATAGTGACTATAAAAATAAATCCTGATGAGAAGCTGACATGGCTAGGATGCTTTGCTATGAAGTACTTGATAGTTTGCAGCAAGGGCAAGCTAATGATCTAGTTTGTACACAAGGTTGAATAGCTCCAGCAGGCAAATCAGTAAGAGGTGCATGAGTTATTATTCTGGTGAAAATGATAATTTGGAAAATTTTAAACTTTCATATGACATACACAAAAAGATACTCAGCACAGCAGATAACATTTTCAAACATCTGATGTGACACCTAGTGCAAAGACCTCTTAAAAGAGAAAATATAAGTAAAATAGTACACATCTTCATGACCCCTTATATATGGATACACTGCATGTGCATCTGAACTCGGTACAAAAAAAGTGCATCACCAATAAACATTGAAAATATCATTATTACAAGCCTCAATTTTACAGTGTTAATGGTTTCATTTAACAATATCTAAGAACAGATTTTGGACTATGGCCAGATGTGAAAGCTGGAGACTGTTATTGTGGTGTAGCATACCAAAGAAACTGTCAAAATAATTTAGGACAAACATAAAAATGATTTAGCGTAAAAAACCACACATAAAAAACATACTTTGGAGATACAAAAGCTGTCATTCTGATCTGTAGACATGTGGCACATGTGAATACTAGGTTGCATGGGTACGGATACGGGTATAGGACACGACAAAATTGTAAAAGGTCGGGTACTGGGACACAGCTTTATATATGCATGTTATGTATATTCTTATGTATTAAAATTAATAATTTACATAAGATCAATATATAAGAAATAGATGTGAAGCGTAGAATATACATCCAAGAAGTGCTTTAAATTAAAACATGTATTATATATTTGAGTTTACACCCTAATAAACATATGCATATATCTAGTAAGTGTCCAAGAGGTTTGGGTACGGGTACATGACAGGTACATGTACGGCTTCCTAATAGAAGTCCCAAGGTAACATATAGAAAGGTCAAGGTGAAGTTCTTAGGATTTGAATGGGTTTAGACTGTTTGGGGAGTTGTTGCTGGCTTGAGGTTGGGTTTTGAAACTTTGCTTTTCAACGTTACTAGTTTAGAACTGAATGTTATGACAGCACATTTTCTATTATTGATCAAGGATTTTTGTTTTGACAAGAACTCAACCTAACAAAATTGACAAAAACTCAACCTAACAAAATTCCAGTTTTCATACTCGCTATCTATATTTGAACCAGTCACAATTAATTTAGGGGTGTATTCAGTCCAGATACAGCTAAGATAGCTAAGATATGATACTTACCATATCAATATTTGCTTACCTATCTCGGATACAGATATCTCGGTTAGGAAAATTCATATCCATATCCGTTAAAATCGGATACGAATAAGGATATACATGCAGACTTATAAGCGGATATTCATGTAGATAAAAAACGGATATGAGAAAACTAGATAGTATTAAAAATACATATAGTTTATGTGGTGCAAAAGAGTTCATTAATAAGTTCATTATATCTAAAAAGTTAAGATTAGACATCTTGATCATCAAAATTAACTTCAAATCGATAATCTAAGGATTAAAACTATCATAACAATATGACTAATATGTGTTCGAATATTTCGAATACGGATCCAGATATTTCACTACAAAACCATATACGTAACCATATTCTATCGATCATATCTGTATCCTAACAGATACAGTTACGGATATTTACTCAGATACAGATACGATTTAGCACCCTAGTCCTCAAAAAAAAAAAGTTCAGCATTATATAAATTTTAGGTTGAACGTTGGAAGTTGCACTACTCCCCTCCCTCCCCAACACCTCCCCCTCCCCACCAAACAAAAAACAACCCACAAAAAGAATGGCACAAAAGATATCCGCTCAAATTATTCTCTCCAATACCCTGATTTGAGGCCTTGTTTTAGTTTTTATTTTTCAGATATAACAGTAACTCTTTTATTTGTCAGAGCAGTGTTTTAAAGGATAACAAAGAATAAACAATATTATTGAATATATATTATTGTGGATTTGGCTTATGCTTCAGGATTTGGAGAAGAAATTGGGCAGATTCCGTACAATAATAATTGAATAATGATGATAGTTCAGTAATAATCAATTGGCTTAATATTGCTAATTTCAATATTAAGTTACTGTAGTATGATCAAGGATAAATAAATTTTATCCTTATTAGTATGTTTATAAAATAACTAAATAGCACACCACCAAAAGTACCTCACAGCCTCAAATCATTTAACCCAAGCACCTAATTGCTTAGCTTCATGATTGTTCTCAAAAGATTTCCCAAGCCAGCAAGAAAATAAATCAGCTCAAAAAAAAAGAAAAATTAAACAAAACCCAAATAAAAAATTAGGATGATAGCAGGGTAGTGATGAATGGCAATAGTCTTGCCAAGACAAGCATATCAAGATATAAGTACAGGAAACATCAAAAGTTTGTAGTAATCCAATAGGGATTCATAATTTATGGCAAAACTAGTAAATTACTACAAGGTACAAAAATTTACAAATCAGAATCAACAAATGGTGTTGATTGATAAGGATAATGTAGCATATTAAAATAAAGTCTAAATGACTAGTCGAGCATCATATAGTTTCAATTAATAAACAAAAAATGGAACTTTATGTGAGCAGCTACATTTCATCTATAAATCTTCATCAATGCCTAATTAAGTCGGGAAAAAGAAACTTGGTGAGGTAGAATATCTATTCTAGTAAATCAACTGAAACAATCCAAATATTTCAATGCAAAAATAAGAATTCTAAATGGCTTCAAGTACTGAAAAAGAGTACACATACGCCAGGTTCCTTTTAAATCATAGTTCTTGAGAATGAAATGAACTCGACCTTTATCCAACAAGTTACAAAAATAGATGTGAAGTGTAGGATATATATCCAAAAAGGGTATGACAAGTGTTTTAAATTGAACATGCTTTGTGTAATTGAATACTTTGTCTGAATAAATATATGCATATATTTAAGGAGTGTCCGATAAGTGTCAAGTATGGGTACAACACGTGCCGGGCATGAGTACAGCTCCATATTAGAAGTACCCAGGTAACATAGTTCTAGATAGAAGGCAGCAATCACAACATCCTCCGCAAAATGATTTTTAGTAAGAATGGCATTTGATTGAGGAACCTCTCTGTGTGTGCGCCGAGGAAAAAATGGGTTGGTAAATAAGCTCCCAAGAGATAACCACATGGTGAGACTCACCCTACTTAGCACATCAAAAGGTGTGGGTTTCACCTTCTCTATCTCGTGGTAACTCATTTAGCACCTATAGATATATATGAGGAATATGGGTTTAATGGGTAGTGATGTGGGCATTTTTCATCCACACATTTAATGGGTAAGTATGCTAAAGACCCACACTTCACCAGTTAGTCCCTCATATTGGACAGATCACCATCTTAGTGGTCATAAGAAGTCCTGAAGGGAGGTAAACTCTTTTATCTGCGAAAGCTTTATTTCTCAGTTATAACTTAATTATAACAGTAAACTCTATTATTTGATAAAGCTGCGTTTGAAAAGATAACAAAATATAAACAATATTGTTGAATATAAATTATAGCAGATTTGTTTTATGCTTCAGGATTTGGAGAAGAAATAGGGCATGTCCCGTACTATAAATTAGATATTAATAATTAAATAATGATAATAATTTAGTAAAATAGTAGATTATAAAATGGACTGTAACTCTCCTTTTTCCTTTGAAATAAGATGTCTAAACCTTAAAACCGAAATACAAACAAAAAATACAGAATCATAACTGGACTTGACACAAGATATAACAGTGTAAATAAAAAAATTTAAATATCTTATATCTACCATGAATATATGAAAAATACTGTCATCAAACAAGATGTAATACCTGAGGTGCTATCGCTCTACGAGAGAAAAATTCTTCATGGCGACGAGCACAGAACTCCCAGGAAAGTATCTAAACAAATGAAATTAGCAAATCAAATTGATACTGTATTTTAGATAGGACACCAAGGAACTCCAGAAACTTCAATAACATTGAATAAGCCAAGTTGAAAAAAGAAAAGCGTAGATAGTCCTTCAATGACCTTTAGATCTGGGGTAAAAGTTATTCTAAGTTGGCCCTCACGAACCACACGGAGCTGCTCATAGACACTTTCTTGAATGGCTTTCGCATATTCCAGCACCATCAATCCTGAAGCAAGCCTGAATTCACGGGGCATGTCAAGAAATAATAGTTCATCTATAACTCCACGGTCGAATTTGATTTGATTAAGCCTAGGCAATACTTCGTGTGTGGCCTCTGTGCAAAAGAAACAATACAAGAGTCATTAACTGAAAGTTACCAAGTTATAGAGCTTAACTCTACAAAAGTATATCCACAAAAAAGTGCACAAAGATTCAGCTCAACCTCATGTAAGGGTATCTATAAACAATGAAAATTTTGAATAACTTAATCAGTACATAGTACATGAAAACTCAAAATGGATAGAGATAAAATCAAAGCTAGCAACAAGAGTGAATTAAGATTGAATCTCAATGTTTGAGCATAGAAAAGAACCAATTAACTGACAAAAAAAATACACTTTGCACCAGCATCTCTTTTTTCCTTGACTCTTGTTTCCTTAACCTTACTAACAGTAGATATACTATGAACATTATAAATTGAGAACGCTAAAGTCCAAACTTCAAAAGGAGTGCCGAGGTCAGATTTATATGCAGGAGCTAATACCAAAATAACTAGTGTTGATCCTAACTAATAAGTATCAATCATATTAGTCTTGTTTTATGCACCAAGGTCATTCATTTGTCATCATGAGATGCATCTTTTTGTGCTATCTGAAAATCCCTCTGAAAAAGGCTGTTAGTTTAGTACTATTACCAAAAGCATATTCGAAATTACAACTAAACTTTATTAAGGAGCAAATTTTAAAAAGCAAACAATGTATACAATTGAAAATGAAAATAACTAAAGTTATTGCTACATTACAAGGTAATTTTTAAATTTATTTAAAATAAGAGACTATCTTGAAAAAAAATGCAACAGGTATAATAAGTTTTTTTAAAACCAAAAGGATTTGTAAATTGTTTTATTAATGAGGAAAATAACTTAATTTCACCGAATTTATTGCAATCTATCATAAAAAGAAACTCGTGTATAACAAACATTTGTCAGCTGAAAGGATGTATTGCTTATTGCTCAGTACAAGGTTCCAATTCTACTCGATCTATTGCGCAAAAGCTTCCATGATGACATACTCCAGTTGCTAATTCAAGAAAAAGTATGTTAAAGGATTAACAAGCATATTGACACTGTTTCAGGTATTCATACTTTAGAGTGCCACTAAATCATTATCCGAGGAAATGAGGTAAAAAAAAGGCCAAAAATCAAGGTTACAAGGTACATATAGTGCCACTAAATGATGGCCTCATTAGGAAGACCTTATGAATTACTAAGTTGGACTTGGTCCTTTAAAAAGGGTTATCAATGAGTGTTGAATGTTGATGGACACTTGATATGCTGAATGTACACAACGGGAAAAATCATTATGAACTCATGTACTCAAGAGGGTAAAAATATCAAAGATATGAGTAACAAAGTAACCAATACAGTTCACTTTGGAAGCTTTTATGAACAAGAAACTCCCAAATCATTCTTCGCACATTTTCAATATGGTAGATCAAAATCGACAGAGTAATATTTACATGGGTAGCATTAGTGGTATGGAAACAGTTTCAATCCTAACTGTAGCTCTGTGATGGGGATCAAAGTCGATTAGAGTAGATTTAAGTTTTAAATTATCCGTTTGAATTATTAGCCTATTAGGATAGAGTTGTTTTGGTTTTGAAATTGTAGTAGGATTAGATGAAGATTTGGTTTCTTAAAAAATTTGAATTTTGAAGTTTTAGTAGAGATTTCAACCTATATATAAAGTGTTGTGGATTTTCATTGTAATTATAGAGATTTTATATAAATAAAGTTAGAGTTGAAAAGAATAGGTGTCTGTGAATGATTCCGTCCCTTTCAGATTAGGCAATCTTTAGTTGCATATTATTTTCACTCTCATTAAATCCCATCCATCCATCTCAAGTTTAATAAAACCCAAAACCTAATCTCAGCCTCACTTCCTCTATCACCCACGAAAACAGCTTGCGAGAGAAATCTCTCACACCTCCGCAGCTTCTTTACTCGAGAAGAACTCACGAACCCAAATCTTCTTCAACCACAATGTCATAGATGAATCCAATTATGACCGCACTGCTGTTCTCTGACTGCCTTCACCCAACTTTCAGTAACAATCGTCCGCTGAAGCCTTCTCTCTGATGAAGAACTAATCTTACATCGTGTCACCATCATCTCTTCATCATTTATGACATTCTATCTCCTCCGGTGGCCACCTTCAACGGCCTAACCAGTGACTTCTAGACCCAATGTGTGTCACTCAAGTTCACTGACGATCCGGAATTCACCATAACAGTGGTAGATTAGAAGTAAAATCTTAAGGTTGTATATCCAAAAAGATCTTCAACTTTGCAAGTCCTTCGTCAGATTAAACTCAACAAGATCCAAATCAAAGCGCTAACATTCATTAGGAATCTGTGAATTGTGTCTCACAAGGTTTGGGTATACTTGATATCAGTACAATTATTGTTAGGTGTTTAGGTTATTAATTGTAGATCTAAATTTTTCTTCTTAATACAGAGTATCTTCTGCTGATCTTTAGTGTTAATCTACACTGTTTATGTTTCTTTAGATTAGTTGTTAAGAAACCTATAGATTTGTGTCATGTTAGGTATTAGTATCAGAGCTTAAGTTTAATAGCAAGTTTATAAAAAATATATATGAATTACATCTCACACACACACAACACACACACACACACACCACACACAGCACACACACTACATCAAATATAATATATATAATATATATGAGTTACGTTCAAACTTAAGTGGATAGGAGGTCTTGTTCTCACCAAACTTTTATCCACTCATCTGTCCATTTTAATTTTGTCACTCAAATAAGCAGCAAACTCTCAAAAGACTATTCAATATCTTTCACGGATCCCAAGACAACATCAATGGATAAAAAAGTTTGATGATGACTAATTCCTATCTACTTAAGTTGACATAGATTCTCTCTCTCTCTCTCTCTCTATATATAATATATAATAGTATATAGTATAATTATATATATAATATATATATTATATGCAGATTAACAGGTATCCTTGATAAGCGAAGGCGGATTCCCGTCCTTGACAATGATATGGCACAATCCCCACCATGTGAAATTCTCTCTCCTTCACATTGTGGGGATTGTGCCATATCATTGTTAAGGAGGAAAATCCCTCCTGTCAAGGATACCCATTACGGCTTTGCGTAGCAGCCGGACCCAAAATATGGGACCAACAGAGGGAACAGCGTGCGTTGTCCCCCTCCTATTGCATAATGAGCTCACCATAATTAATGATGGCCAGCTCATTACGCAATAGGAGGGGGAACACCTCACATGTCCCCCCTGTTGGTCCCATATTTTGGAGTCATTGAGCGATTATTTCTACCCATTAATCTCTCTCTCTCTCTCTCTCTCTCTCTCTCCTATATATATATATTATATATATTATATATATATATATATATATATATATATATATATATAAAAAACTCATTATGAAATGCAAAGAATGCCATATCAACGAATCTAATCTTGAATACTTTTAACTTTCCCATTTGAGCAATCCTTGTTTCTATAAACTTTAGTAAAAGTATTAGAATGCAGCTTTCTTGGTATTCCTTGGATCACAATTACAGGCATTCAACCGCTGACCAAAGCAAAAATTGAGCAGCATAACCACAAGGCACAAAGAGATGAATGGAATGAAGCTGTTCAGCATCTTGAAAAGTATCACAATGTCAAGTTCCTAATTCTGGATGCTTACCTCATGAAGAACATAAGTAATAAGGAATTATCTTTTCAGTCAATTTTCTATAATCTAAAGAGAACAGTCAAATTTTCTACCATTGAAGTATTTCACTGCTAATTCACTACATTTAGAGAAATTATTCTGGAAAAGAAGAGTTTATGGCTACAACAGTTTATGTCGCCCTCACAATGAAGAAAGCCGGCAAGAGAGCCTCCAATTACTTACCCCTTTTGACTTGTTGAATTGCACATTAGATGCAAGAACAAGATAAGACTATTTCAAGGTTGATGGAGAAAACCCTTCCAAAGTCAAAGTTACAACTTCAGCATATGAATGCCTCACCAAAACTGTAGGTTCCTCTTGCAGAGTGAGTCCTTCATATGTTGAAGTGATAGTTTTTAACTTTAAAAGGGCTCTCTCTATCAATCTCAAATTATATCAATCTCCTTGCATTTAATATGTAGTTCAACAAACTTAAAAGGGTAGGTAGTCGGAAGCTCCTCTTGTATCCTTTCTTCAATTCGGGAAGAAGACCAAGAGTCGCAGTCAAAATCTCTTCCCTTTTCATAAATTTTCTCCAAACATGGTGAGTTAGTAACAAAAATTACTGGTAGAAAAATTTTGCTAATATTTCATCCGTTGAGTGTTCCTATTTTTATATCAAGGCAAATTCACCGAAAAGATATTTCTTATCACTTATTTTCTCAATGAGGCATGCACCAAGAATTAACAATTCACATTGCGAACATTTTTTAAGTTGAGCATCTCCATTCTATTTATATCTTTGTGGTTATCTTGCTCAATTTGCTTTAGTTAGCCAAAAAAGCCAACAATTATGATGTCAGATATCAAAAATGTTAAGTTCTCGGTTCTACTATGTTCAACCAAAGTTCGAGGAACTAAGGATTGCTTACAGGTAAGTGAAATTGTAGATCATTAATTTTTATTATTTATAATTTATCTTCTGCTGATCTTTAGTATTAATATGCATTTGCATTCCTTAAGTTTCTTTGGATTAGTCATTAGGAAAGTTATAGATTTGTGTTGGAACACTCTGACATCTTCCCACTGAGTTCGTATATGGAGGATTCAAATTTGTCAACTCAACAAGCCAGGTCTGAAGATGAACTCTGCCACCAACAAGCCAGGTCTTGACCAATAATACTAGAGCGAGATTTCATTGCTAGCAGTTGATATCGCCCTCCTGTCAACAATGTGGCAGCATATAACTTGCTTGCCCGCAGCTACACTAGCAGGAAAAGCATTCATGATTTAGAACCAAACCACCTGAACAATTAATGGACTATATGAATGGACTATATGGTGATGCTGGTAGGGTTCAAGAAGCCTCTGCAGCATGTTTTAGCAGTCAGAAAAGGTGCTTAAGACCTAAAAAGCAGAATTTTAAGTTTAATTATTGTTCATCACCATTTCTATTTTCTTTTATTTTTTACTTTTCCCCTTGGTAACTTTCTCCTGAAGATTAGTCTAAAACTTCATTCCGCCTCAGGTCTCACAGTGAAAGGAACAGCTTTGAGCTAACTGACTAAATTGATTCATAAAGCTAAATTTTTATTTTATTTTTATTTATTTTTTTTTTTTGTAAAGCAGGTGAGTGGTAGTGAAGAAAATTAACAACAGATCTCAGTCAAAGAATTAATGTACTTACCAAACCCCTTTCCAGATTTAGAACCACAAATATCACATTGCCATGCATCCTACAAGAAGTAATACAGTATAACAAATCAGAAGGCAATTATGAACACATGCCAAAAAGTGACCAAACATGGTGTCTACATGTATGCAGTAAAATACTTGTGGAAGAAACAAAATAATTTGAATAGAAACACTGAGTTAAAAGTACAAACATATAAGAATGGATAAGGCTGCAAACAAAACGAAAAACTAACCATAGCTGCTTGAGGAAATGCGCCAAGGGCCTGGCTACCAACATTTTCATACAATGACAAGCACCATCTCTTCTTAGCTTTCGGAGCAAAATATTCTCCTACAAACTTCCTCCAGTACAATATAGAATTGTCCTATAGGGAAAAGGAACATACTTAGCCAAATGTGTTTTGCAAAAAATATACGAAATTTATCCAAAAACTATCAGAAACTCACAGGTGGTCGATGACGTTGGTGATACATATATTGCATAAGCCGCCTAGCACACAATCCGCTATCAGAAACGCGTCTCACAGGAGGAGGTACAGCTTGCACTTGTAAATTGCTTGGCCTCAGATGCTGAGACATCAACGGGCCCCGCTGCATATGTGGCATCGACTGAAAAATCTGTTGCTGCTGCTGTCGCTGATGTGCAAGCCTCTGCTGTTGAATAATCGCATTCAGCTGAGGATTCTGATGCCCTTGCAGTTGCAAAGACTCCGGCCTCTGAAGCAGCTGATGCATAACTTGCTGTTGCAAAACATCTTCTTGCCTCATATCCAGCCTTGGCTTTTTCTGGGCATAGACTGAACTTGTTCCTGGCTCCTGTTTTATTGGCTTTAGCTGTTCTTGGTGAGGACTCTGTTGGATAATGGAGGAGCCATCCATCATCGAAGAGCCTGATATGTTATTAGACGAGAAGGAAATAGGAGAAGCAGGAAGGCGCATGTACGACTCGTTGTTAATACTCGAGCTCCTTTGAAGCTGTTGCCCACCTCCGGATAATGCTGAGTTGGCATCGGTGACCAAAGAGCTGGCTCCAATGCTGGGGGCAGAGGAGTTTGCTGTGCTATTCATTGGCCCGTGGTTCATCTCTCCATTGACATGGCCTATGCCGGACCGAGCTGGACCAGACATGGAGCTAGCTTGGGCTGGGCTCTGACCATCACCCTGGAAGAAAATTCCAGAAGCCACAGAAGAATTGGAAGGACCTCCACCTACAGATACCCTAGACGGGTTACCTGAGGGGCCGGCCGCCAACTGGCGGCTAGAATCCAAATACCTCTCCAGTGCAAGACCTATTCCAAAGAAATTACCCTTTTAACACAAGAAACTACTTAAGAGGTATCAAAAAACCTTTTCCCTCTGCTTTAAGAATAACTATTCAGAGAAATTTAAACCCAGATCTATTCTTGAAGCTTTAGATATGTTTCTTTCGAATGTAGGTTAAAGATAAAAGAAAACCCCTCAAGCATAAAAAATGATTTCACATCAAAAAAAAATTCTCACATCAATTAGAGAGACTAAATCTGTTCAAATCATCAAAAAAAAGTACCAAAATCACCCACGCTAAACCCTTGATTCCTTAGCCCAAACAAGAGCTACCAACAAAGAAAGTAGGTGAGATCACCTTCCTATAAGTTTAAAGACGCCCAATTCATCCACAATTGCAGTAGAAACAGCTATACCAGTGTCAGAAATAAGTAACCTTTGTGTTCTTTACAACTGCTACGAATTTAATGTACAAGGGTGAAATTCCAGTTTTCTTTCAACATGCAATGCTTCTAAATCAACCAAAAACTCAAATTGAACTATTTCCCCCAAATTGTTAAAACCCTAGCTGCCCAACAACCCAATTATACAGCTAAATCCCAAATGAAATCAACACAAGAAAACAATAGAAGACCTAGAAATCATATAACCCTAATCAATTGACCTTATCCTAAATTCAAGTCCACAAATTTCGCGTGATCCACAAAAGATCGCAGCTCCCATCAATCTTCAACAAGTCGATCAAGCGAAATTTTATAATAGCGAAAATATAGATGAGGGCAGAGAGCTTACCGTTTGAAATCCAGCGAAAATATGGGAAAAAATCGTGGGCAAAAAATATCAAGAGACAGAAAAGTGAGCTCTTTTTTTTTTAATTTTTATTTTTTATCAGCAATTAACCTCTCGAATCGCCTCTTGTTTCGCATCGATCGATGGGAGTGGTTTTATACGTCGCGCGAATTGAAGATGGACTGGAGTTGGTCCGCCACCGGCTGTATCCGGTCGCTTTGGCAGTTTGCACGCTATGTGTCGAGTTGGCACGCCGACGTCGTGAGCAGCTGACTGGATTGGGCGGTGGGCTCGGGTTCTCACAACCGGCAGCTGGAAGTGAATAGTTGGTGTCCCTAGGCACGTGATGCGCGCATGCCGTGAGTGAGCTTTAATGAGAAGACTGAGAAGACTGAAAAAGGCGAAGGACTCCTTTATTAATGACTGCAATTATGTGTTTGGACTGAAAATACAACTATAGTTCAAAAATAAGAGATTTGATACAGGGACCCAAAATATTTTACCAATAGAAATGATAAATGATGACCAACTCATTATCCAATAGGAGGGGAACACCTCACTTGTCTCCCCTATTGGTCCCATATTTTGGGTCATTAAAGAATTTTCCCAAAAATAATATAGATGATAGGATCTATCTACATTTTCTTATCATTTTAATTTTTATTTACATACAGATAGGATTTTTAACTTATTCACTAAAAAATATTTTTTATTTACTTCTATAGGATTTCTAACTTGTTCACTTAAATATCAGGGTCTGATATGAACTTTTCTAGAAAAGAAACTCAATTTTATTCCTTTTGTAAGTAAGGTTACTGATCTTAATTTAGCGTTAACTTGTTGATGTGTATATTGTAACTGCAGGCATCTAAGTGTTTGACTTAAAGAGACCTACCATAAATGAAGTTTATTTTGTGGATGCTTGTTAGTAAGTTTTGAATTGCAATAATTAAAGTGAGTTTAATAAATATTTTTCACAGCAGTTAACACATCTCAATTTAAATTTCTTTTTAAAATTTATTCAAAGTGCAAACCGTTAGTAATGATGTATTAGAATTTACATAAAACTGGCAAAATATAATCTAGCACTTCCCTATCGTTACTGTTTTGCATAATTATATTAATTTGGCATCATATTACTTAATATATTTCTCTAACTCTATACACAAAATTGCACATCCAACTTTTCTGTAGAGTGCCACTTTATTCATGTTTTCTTTTTATATGAAAAAATAGGTTAATAAAGGAATGAGTTACGTTGGTCAAAGACCATTAGTATGTGGGTTGAGTGATAACGAAACAGTTAGCAATAAAAGTAACATCAATAAAAAAAATGGTGTCTAGATTAATTAATAATTCGCTAGTAGAAAATTGACCATCCTAGACGTAACATCTACATAGATTTTTCTATCTAAAATGCTAAAATCCTAAACAAAAACGTCTGTGTAGGATGCATAACATCCTAGACTAAATTGTTCATCTAGAATAGTGGGCCCTACAAGGAAAAGTAATTTAAAAGTTCGCNAAAAAATGCTCTGCTCGTTGCCCTCTTCAAGTACTTTAAGGGCCTGGTTGTTTTCCATCATTTTCCAAAAACTTGTTTCCCTCATTTTTTGGTGTTTCTCTTAATTTTATAATAAAGTGTTTCTCATGTTCGTTTCGCCAAACAATATATAGGGCTAATTTTCACCACTTTTCTTAGTTTGGCTCCATCTAAATAATAATAAAATAATTGATATGTGAATAGATTCCCACATTTCTAGTGTTTGGTCCAAACTAAAAAAGAAAAAACTATGGTTATGGTCACCACAACGTGCTTACCACCCCATATAGGATAAAACTTTTGCCAACATAAATTGAGGGTAGAACATATATTCACCATCACATAAAAATGTTTACATATTTTGAGGGACTAATTTACAAAAAAAATTAAAGATTTGAGAGACTTATTTGCAAAAATGTTTATAAATTTAAGTTAGTAATTTGTAAAATCTTTAAAGATTTGGGGGACTAATTTCATAAGGCTAAATATCTATATTGGTATTTTAATTCCACCTCATTTACCAAGAATGTATTTTAATTAGACAAACATGCTTTAAGGTATTTTAATTGATTCAGCTTACCAACAAGATCATTTTTCTCGTCGGCAACAAGTTTTCCGGCGAGAGCTCGTCACGTGCGTGGCACGTGATGACTTAAACTATTTTTTAGCTGCTGATGTGACACAGATCTGTCCTATTTTGGGTGAATTGGGATTTTTAGAGGGTTAATTCCTACCTTTAAACACTGCCACGTCAGAAAATCCGTGCCACATCAGCAGCTAAAAAATAGTTTAAGTCATCACGTGCCACGCACGTGATGAGCTCTAGCCGGAAAACTTATCACCGACGAGAAAAATGGCTTTGTTGGTAAGTTAAATGAATTAAAATGCCTTAAAGCAGGTTTGCCTAATTAAAATACCTTCTTGGTAAATGGGGTGGAATTAAAATACCAATATGGGTATTTAGCCAATTTCATAATATGAACATTTGAGGAAGAAATTTAAAAATGTTTAAAGATTTGAGGGACTAATTTTACATTTAAGGACATGATATTAACCCCAAACATAGGACAAAGGTTTTGTTGCACTCAATTTTGGTCAATATCATCATAGTATGCCTCACTACAAAATCTATAGTAGCAATGTTGCCCGCATGTGTTGTCTCCCTAATACATTACTAGTATAAACTTTGGTTGCATGCATAAAAAAAGGCCATCACTATAGCATCAACTCACATAAACAATACCATAACAACCATTTTCAAACAATTATGATCTGATTAGCTAGTAAAGCCAAACCTATCTACGTAATCTCCCAACACAGTAGTATATAGGCTACAATAACATATTCAAGGAACGCATTTTGCTTATTTTTAAACACATATATGTTTATTCTATTAATTAGAATCAATTAGTTCTTTGTAGAAAATAATAAAATACCATTTTAGGAGCAGAACACAGTCGTTTGCATACTACGATGAAAACATTAAGCAATAGGGGCATTACAACCAAAACTAGCTGGAAAAAGACCATTCAAAAGTAAATTTTCTCAAGAATTCACTAAAATAATTATCTAATTGATATCACAAGACAGAGAATGTTGTTTATTATTGATAATCTCTAAACTACTAAATATTAATCTTTATAGAGAAATCAACATATGTCTTGCCCTATGCCTAACCAGACTAATTCAAAACAAAGATAATATCTGCCTCAGCACGGCCGACTTGATTGGCCGACATCTCGCATAACCAAGTCAAAAGACGGTACTACTTGGTCAACCCCTCAATTGACTCCACAAGCGATCCGACTCGACCCACTGTTCAGCCGACATCACATAACTGAGTCAAAATGCAGTACTACTCGGCCAACCCCTCAATTGACTCCACAAGCGATCTTACTCGGCTTACTGTTTGTCATGCCATGTTTCCCAAAATACCCAGGAACCGGAATGCGAACAAGCCCGCGACGTATTAGATTAAGGAGAATAAATAAAAATAAACATTTCTTCTTAACCTAATACGCTAAGCGTCATGAAATAAATATAATGCGAAGTCACAGGTTCCCGATCACAATAGCGAGAATATAATGAACAACACAAAAGAAAATAATACATATCACAAATGAATATCATCCAAGACATATTATTCGGGTCAACATGCCCTTATACAAAATGAACAAATGAATACTAAAGAGATACAAAATACACTGATCAAAAGGAAATGAAAGTGCTACAAAAATAAACCGAAAGGATCCTCTAGCTCTGGCGTATCTCCAAGCTGAACATGTCCTTCCTCTAAGTCTGACGTACACCAGAGAAAATAAGTGTACGTCAGCGTACATGGCGCACCGCAAGATCCCACAAAACAAATAGAACGAATGAAAACTCAAGCGAAAAACGATACGATAACAGAAATGACAAAAGGATGTGCAACTGGAAATCCAACAAAATCAACCAAGTAACAAGTCGATCATACAGCTAGCGATCAGAATAATCATCCAAGTAACATGGTCATACAACTAGATGGAATTAATACTTAAAAATCTACAATAAAAGACGTAGTACGTCGAGTGAAATAATCCAAACAAGGAAACCCTCATGTATATACCATATGTCTCAAATTATAGATAATTAAATATTAACCCCGATCTATGTATGAAAAGAAATACAAATAGCCTACATCTCACAAGAAATCATACCTAGCCAAGAAACGAGGTCATGTAACTAGTCATCCTATAACAGGTCACTGGTTCACATCTCACACAGAGTCAAAGCTCATATTATCGAATAAATGGCTGTTCACAAATCTCCTACGTGCATCCAATAGCGCTACACAAACTCGGTCAGAGGACTACACGCAATCTGTTTTTAGCCTGGTCCAGACTCAAGCTAAACTCGGGTGAATATCAAATTCACGGACCAAAGTGCCTACACAAACTTCACTTTGACCCAACAAACCAACCCCAGTACTACACAAACTCACTAGTGCGAGCTTGGAAGATACATTAACAGTCACATCCGATCACATGAATAAAACTTCCTCATCCCAACTCTTTTCGTTTTTCTAAGTCAACAATCAAAGTCCACAATATCTCTGGTTCACCACCTAAATCAGTCAACACACCCACACATGTCACTAGGTGTGTTTATGACGTACGAGGTCACTAAGTCATGAACTACTAAGGTTCTCAGTCACAACAATGAACAATCAATGTAACTAATCATGTGCAATAATATCATAGCATATCAGATAATCAAGTCTAAGAATTATAAATCATGAACAAACAACTATATAATTCAAAAAATAATTCATTTTCCAAAATAACTTCTTATAAGTTATCATAATTTTCCTCAAATGATTCCGTTCTCAAATAAATTCTTTTTAATTAATATAATTATCCAAAAATGATTCCGCTGTCGAAATAAATTCTTTTAGTCTATTATAATTATTCTGAAAATACTATTTATCACATAATTACAATTTATTTAATATTATTCATCAAATCCATGCAGATAATTATATCACAAATTAACATAAACAGATAATTTACAATTTCATCAATAAGCCCACGTAGATAATTATTAACAGATGAAAAATTACAGATAATTCATAATAA